GGGGTTGGTTGGTTTATAGGTATCCCACATTTGAAGCTATGTTTTTTGTTTCGTTTTTAAAGGTATGTACAAGAGCCGCAGTGGACATCCGTCTCATGCCCCGTTACATACCTTGGCTACATACATTTTGACCGCATCCGAGGTAACAAGGGCCTCGCGCATTGCATACCCCCCAAAAGAATCACACCCATATCAGTCGGGGCGGTCCCTGGTTTGGACCGTTGCCTGAAAGCGCCATGTCTCTGGTGGGTTCCGGAGGAGCAACGTCATGCTGCAGTAAAGGGGATGCCATGGCATGCACCAAATCAAGAAAAAATGGGGTGGCTCACCAAAATCCAGCCTCACTCGGCAAAAATCACCCACCAGGAGATCGCTGGTTTGAGTCCTTGGTTCCATGTACCAGGGTTCCAGTTTGGGTTCCCATTTGACCCATGGCCATTTGAACATGCTCCGAATCACTCGGGAGCCCATGGGGCGACCGTTTGACCCATGGCGAACGGTGTTTGGCGATCTCTCCGGAGGCGCTGACGGAGGAGCAGCGAAAGAACCTCAGCCAGTACACCCGGAAGGCGCGCCGGATCCGTACTAAAGGGGCGGGCCGTTGTATGGGCTTCGGTTTTGTTGGGCGTGCCTTCCAAAGTGCCCAACCTCTGAAAAACACCACGAAATGGGTTTGCATCGAACTGCGGGAGGAACCTTGCACTTTTGGGCTAGCTTCCAAGGTAAATCAAGGGACTTGGAGGGATCCCCCTTAGGGCAGCGCCCAATGCAAAGACTGTAGAGGCCATGAACCTGTGTAAGGTGAATGGGTTTGAGCGCTGCCCTCAACAACTCGACACTTTGCGGACCCGCGGGAGGGCAACTTACGGCGAGCCTGGTGAAGAAGAAAAACTCCGGGGGGCAACGAGTCCAGCGGTTTGCAGAACGCACTGGCCAAAACATTGCTGGAGTCCCCTTCCCCAAACATCCATCGCCAGCACCCTCCCCAAGCAGGAAGATCCCCCACAAAACAAAGATCCTCGAGTCGGGCTCCCAACCTCGAAATGACACACGTGTCGAACATTTCGGGGATGTCTCCAAAATGAACCCCAACCCTTGGCGCACCCACTTGGAGGCGGTCTCCACAGGAGCACCCTGACGCCTGAGAATGGGGGGTTTGGTGTTCGTTGGCGTCCACAACCATATTGTTGCATCAAAACCACATGTTTGGGCCGGGCACCAGTCAACGACGGAGGGAAAGTGCGCTCTCTCTCTCTCTCTGATTTTGGTGGAGGGCCACATGTGTAAAAAGGAATTGCGCTGGCCTCGACCCCAAGGGTGACGCCAAGGGTAAAGGTACCAAGAATTGCCCAAGTTTTTGTTGGTCTTCTGGGGCAGGCAATCTGCATTTTTGGGGCCAAAAGCCCGGTGTTTGGGCGGAAGCTCGCAGCCCCGTCCAAAGCGCCAGGCAAAGATGGACAGCCCCTTGGCGCCGGTGCGAGGGCGCCCAAAGTGCTTCGCGATCCGATCGCTTTCGCGGGTGCACCTGAAAGGCTGAAAGGCCTTGGTTTCCGTTGTCCTGAAGGAATGGGCTCCGAATTCCAAGGGATGGCCTCAAAAAGATGGCATGACTCTCGCTTAAATGAAGGCCACCGAAAGGCTCCCAGCTGGAATTCAGCCGAGCTCGTGTCACTTTGGGGGTTCCTGTGTCGCATGGATTGCCTTAACCCCAACGTGACGCTGTGACACCAGTGATTCTCATCCGCACTTTTGAGGACGTCGAAAGGAAAGCAATCATTTTGAGGGTTCCCTAATTCAGACACAGAGCTATATCCCGGTTGGGTTGCGAATACCTTCGAAAAGCCATAGTGTGTGTTGCTCGGTGCTTGGAAACCCTCATCATGTTCTATAAAAAAGGGTTAGAAGGTTATTGCTGCTGTGCCAACGGCGACCCGCACAGGGCCCCCCATGTTTCCCTTTAAGGCATCAACACTCGCTTTCCATGGCCCGAAAGGTGCAGCTTAAAGCCAAAGGGGACATGTAGGAACTCAGCAACATAGCCAAGTGGAACGCTTGAGTAGACAGGCATTCGGCTCAGGACATTTGCTTCCAAACAGCCATCTTTCTTACAGCTGATTCACTCCGGAAACAAATGCTGCATGCTTCTGATGTAGACTGTTTGCTTCCGACTCTTGGCATTTCCTCTGCAACAAACTGGTCCAAGGGCCCCAAGAAGCAGAGGCGAAAAGTGGAAGAGGGCACAAGTTTTTGAGGACCATTGCGGTCTCCAGTTTGAAGGAAAGCCAAAATTGGAGGTCATTGTCCGAGGAACGAAACTGGTTCCCCCATGAGACACCCAAAATACCAGTATCCGACGTGGACATGGCGATTGGACTCATTGCACCTGGTAGAACCTCAGAGCAGGCTGTTCGAATCGGATTAATTGCGGCCTTACCCTTCCTCCCACCAACCTGGCACAGAGGCTCCGTTGAGGAAATGAAGCTTCCAGGCACCCTCCCACAGATGCTATGTGAGTGGAAGGGTCGGCATTGGGACCCCCTGCCCCCAGAAGACTTGAGGGAGCCGTTCCAAGACCTTCAAGGTTTTCAAGCGCCTGGGTTGGGGGGCTGTTGAACTGTGCCAGTGTCATGGTCATACTAGACCCCTTCTCTTGGGTTTGGTATGGTCATCAACCCCAAGGATGCAAAAGAGAACAATGACGAGCTACAAGCATTCCCATCACTTCCAGTTGCACTTACAGTAGTAAACAAGGGGCAGCCATCATGTAACCTAGACGTAGACATATTTTCCTGGTTACCAGCTATAGCGGGAACTGGAAGCACTGTGATATCTGTTCAGGGAACCATGACTGACCACAGCCCACATCTTCTTGGATGGTCAAACTTGGTAGGTTACAATATTATAACCACAGCTCTAGGTGAAACAAGAAAGGGGTTGGCTAACTTATAGCCACAGTTACAAGCTACTTGCTACGTAGTTTTCCCTCTGTCACGGGCCCGACAAAGAGGGGACACCCAAAACAGGAACCCCTATGAGCCCCTAGCAGGCCTTGGTTGCTATTAGCTATGGGGATTGCGGGGCCCCTATTGGGGGGCCCTTGACAACCATGGAAAGTTGAAGATCCAAGTCCTAAGTTTGGCTGTTTTTCACCGGGTTCCTTGCGCTCAAGGCTGGGCCCAGTGCTGAGCCCTGACCGGGCCGGCCTCAGGAGACATTTTTGGAGAGGTGACAGCTGTTCCATCCGCCCCAGTTTTCTCCGACCAGTTTGGCGGCTCACTCATTTCTTTGGAAGCCACCCACTTGAGTTATGAGACCGCCCCCTTCTCATCAGTCTGGGTGTCGTCCCATGTTCGAGCTTTCTTCATACCACCCCCAGCCCAGAACCGCCGTTCTTTGTTCCAGCGGTCTGGTTGCCGGTGAATGGACCTTCCGGCCAGCGAGGTATTTTCAACGAATCTTTTTCGTTTGAACTGTAAGTCCCAACCTACCGGTACTGAAGGGGTGTGTGAGGGGAATAGACTAATAGGGGGTATGCTAAGGGGTATGTGAGGGGTATGAAAGCGGTGTGCAAGGAAGGTACCTGTGGAAAGCCTCTTGCAAGAATCGAGCCCATCTTGGTACGGGACGGTTTCCTCTCTGGGAAGCAACTTCCAAAGACGAACATGTTGGCATTGCTTCACGCCTAAGCTGATGTACATTTGGGTCTATCTTTCTCTGAGGGTGCCCCATTTGGTCCTTTTGATTTTTACCCGGAGACCAAAAGGACCACTGGCTATGTTCGGGCGGGGGGTGCCAATACCCACCGACCTTTTGGAGGGTGGGTCTTTTGACCCTCCGTGTTGAATGCCTGGCTTCTTGGGTTTGAAAGAAATTCTTTCGGAGGTGGTTACCCAAACACCCTGGCCGATTAGCCCATCCCGTTTTTTTTTTGTCCCCACCCGACGGGTTGTTAGATTTTATGTTGGAATCCGCGTTTGCCATGCTTCTACACCACGCCCCCACCCAGTATCCCGCCAGAGCAGCTCGCCAGAGAGCAGCTCGCCAGTGGATCCCGCCAAGTATCCCGCCAGAGCGGCTCGCCAGTGGATCCCGCCGAGTATCCCGCCAGAGCGGCTCGCCAGTGGATCCCGCCGAGCATCCCGCCAGAGCGGCTCGCCAGTGGATCCCGCCGAGTATCCCGCCAGAGCGGCTCGCCAGTGGATCCCGCCGAGCATCCCGCCAGAGCGGCTCGCCAGTGGATCCCGCCGAGTATCCCGCCAGAGCGGCTCGCCAGTGGATCCCGCCGAGTATCCCGCCAGAGCGGGTTGCCAGTGGATCCCGCCGAGCATCCCGCCAGAGCGGCTCGCCAGTGGATCCCGCCGAGTATCCCGCCAGAGCGGCTCGCCAGTGGATCCCGCAGAGTATCTCACCAGAGCAGCCCGCTGAGTCGCCCGTGAAACTGTCGAGTATCCCACTCAGTATCTTTTGTGGGTGGATCCTGCCGAGTATCCGGCCAGTATCGAGGCGGAGCGGCTCGCCAGTATTCGCCCGCCAGTATCCCGCAGCTTGCCAGTCTGGGAATTCGGAGTCGAAGTCCCTAGGATGCGGAGGAATTTGTTGTAACGGTCGTAAGCTCGTGAGTGTGGAGGGTGGGGATCGCTCGAAGCGAAGGAATTTCTATTCTCCATATCTGCGGGGTTCAGCAGACCATAAATGGTTGGTTTCATGCTAGCTTCTGTTCAAATGCTGCAACGATTTTAGCTGAATGAGATGCACAAGGGACCCTTCATCCCATGATCCTCAGAATATCCCTTTGGTTTCTGTCCGTTCGTCTGTTGCTTGCGTGCTTGCTTGCTTGCTTACTTGCCTGCTCGCTTGTGCTGCGCAAGTTGACAAAAGCGATTTGCCAGGTGTCAACCCGCAATTTCCCGGCCCCACATGCGGAAAAGCAACGCCTCCACCGCCGCCAAAGCCGCCTCCAACGCGCGGTTGTTGGCGCCGAAGTTCGCGCGGACTTCCGCAGCGTACGAGTGGCTCCCATGTGGCTTTCGGCGTGCTGAGCGCGCGCCTGCAGCGCGGGGCCCAGGGGGGCCAACTCCTCATTTGGGGGGGGAAACTTGGGGGAGGTTGTTTAACCTGCCACTATTCGAGGGTTAAACAACTTGCGACTTGATATTCAAACACAGAGAAGATTGGCGCAGAAAACTTGCGGTATACTGTTTGGGGACGAGAAGGGAGCGGACAATCCAAGTTTCCAAAAGCCAGGGCCCGGGCCCAATTGTCGGATTTCATTTCGGGGAAACGCCTTCTTTGGAGTGTCTGTCGCAGGAGAGTCATAGGGGAAAGGCTACCTTCCACATGCGGCCGGCGGGCGGAAGGGCGGAGAATTGGAAGTTGACATCTATTTCAAAAATGGCAAGCCAGAGACAAAGCACCAACCAATTGGCCTCAAAACACCCAGTTGCTGGGTCGGCTCGTCTATGGATTTTCCGGCCAACTTCTTAACCTCTTCTTAACCTTGGCTGAAGTCTATTTGGTTCGATTGCATTTACCTTTTTGGACAATGAGAGTTCTCCACAAACTAGCAAACTATTCGATTTTGCGGGGGTCAAAGACCAACCCAGCTACGGAGGGCCAGCTTGGGATGGTCATGTCCAGGTAATATGTGCCCCTCCCTGGCGTCCCAACTTGAAGCTCAGCTGAAGCTATGGGAGGATTGGTCAAAAGGGCTGCCTTGGTCGACCTCGTGGACGTAGTGACGCCACACTTAGTATGTTGTAGAGACTGCGGGGCTTGCAGTAGTTGGTGAGATTCTTGACCTAAGTATTACATGGAGACGGGGCCCGCAAACCCGATGCTTGCTCCCCATCCGCCCAGTGGGTGAGTGCCCGCCGCACTCTCTGTGCCCAGGGCAGCCTGCTTGCAGAGGCTGGGCAATGCTGAAGAATCCAGTTGGTCCATGTAGCTTGCTTCTGTCAATGCACACTTTTACAACAACTGAACAAAACTCGGAAGAATACTTTGAAGGATGTACAAAGAGTGTAGTCTTTATTTCCCATGGATCTACTGGTAGCAGTAGCAGTCCTAGAGGAGCGTGGGCTCCTCTTTATGTTTGCAGATCTTGTAGGCAAGCTTGCATCACGCTTTGGCTTCCTCCCTCCCCTCCCCTCCCCTCCCCTCCCCTCCCCTCCTCCCCTCCCCTCCCTCCCTCCCCTCCTCCCCTCCCTCCCTCCCCCTCCCCCTCCCTCCCTCCCCTCCCCCTCCCCTCCCTCCCCTCCTCCCCTCCCCTCCCCTCCCCTCCCCTCCCTCCCTCCTGCCCAACAATTGCTGCAAAACCTCGAAACGAAACCGCGCTTGCATGGACACTTGACTTGGCTGGCTGGCCCCTCCAAACGGAAAGGGCCTTAAGGACGGTTTCTACTCGAATGGCTTAGCTCCACCGAACCCCGAAAAAGTTAAACTTTTTGCAGGGAGGTCAACAGCAACCAAGATGGGAGCAACTCACTCCGTGACTTCGTCTCCGCAGGCGCGATGGACCTCCTGGCGCAGTACAGTGACAGCGACGGGGAGGTCCGGTCTGGTGGGTTTCCTCATGGTTTCCCGCTAAAAACCCGTTGGAAAAGGGTTTCCCCTCAAAAACAGATGGGTCTTTTTTTGTTGAGTTGCAGGGTCCCTTTCCAGGCTGTGTGAGGAACATGGTCACTGTTTGAGCTCATCGTTTTGTTCCCAATCTGAGGGACATCCTCTTCCAATCTGAGGGACTCATCCTCTTCCTTTCAATGTGATGCTGTGGATGGATGAAATCCAGGATTTTCGTTGTTGGTTTATCCCAGCATGAACAGGGTTTGCTCCCTGCCAGCTGGTGCAAAGTGGATTTTAACTATTCATAGGAGTATTTCACGATTGCGGCAAGTCGTCAATCTTCTTTTGCTCGGCTGATGGGGGGGGGGGGGGTTCTGGTGCAGTCGGATTGCGGCCCGAGCTCGGGTGGTGGCACATGGGCAACTCTTCTACTACTGACTGTTTTACACAATGGCGATGGTTTCCAATCGCCAAGCAAGAAGCAGTATAACTTTTCACAGGGGTCGAATCCAACCAGGACATGGATCCGTCTCAGAATTTTGGAACCCTCACAACGATTGGTTTCCCTTCTTCCCTCAAAGGGGTCAGTGTGAATCTCAGCCAAGTTGCGGAAGTACACGGTTGGAGTTTTGGCATGGGGTTTTGTCAACGCCCACTTTGGGGTTAATGAACAGCAAATGGTTTTATCGGAAAAAAGAAACGGAGCACATTTTTGCAGGGGATTCCTCTTAAACATCGTTGCCATTTGGGCCTTCTGGGGTGGATGCTGCACCAAGCACAGCCAGGAGAAGAAGCCGCCAGCCAGCCTGCCGGGGCCGACAGATGTCATGCCGTTGAAGTGGGCGGCTTTGGATGTCCAAACTACCACCCATTAAACAGGGCTCCCTGTACTTCCCCTTCAAACAGCACCCCAGGAAACTCACTCCAGGGACCAAAAGGTTAATGTTTAAAGTCAAGAGGGCAATGTAGGGAAGGGAATGCTGTTCAATTTCCACATGGACATCATATGAGCCACAATCAGAACCCCGGGTAGATGAAGGTTAGTAAGGGGCAGTCCCAGCCAGAAATCGTTGCGGATATCCGCCTTCTTCATTCTGTACATGGTTCTGGGTAGACCATTTGAATACCGGGTAACCTGTGGTGCCACAAATTCTATTCCAACCATTCTTTTCAACCATCGTTCTTTCCAAACACTGGCCGTTTTCCCTGGTTTCCGGAGGTTTTCTGGAAAGAAGGATCCCTGGAAAGAATGAAGAAGGTAGCCCTAGACAAATCCCCTCACTCCCATGTTGCCACCTGACAGGGAGGCACCCTGCCACAGGTGCTATATTCGAAGGGAGGGTAATCATGGTTAACACTCACAACCATGATTGTGCGTACAACCGGATCGGACAATTCAAAGCCGTGGTTACAACCTACCCAGGGTGTTCGAGCAGAGATTGGCCTGGAAACGGCTTCCCTTAAACTAAAAGATCTTGGTGGGACGTATACGGTTGTTCCAGAATTCATGTCCCATTTTAAGAGGGATTTTTCCGACTCTTTGGGTAAACACCTCGTGTTAATTGCTGGTTCGCAGGGAATCAAGAGGGGCTGGGAATGAACCATTCTGGGATCCCCTAAAGGAATGAACCATAGATTGTTCATAGGGATCTTTCCTGCAGTGCTCAGAACTAGGTTAAGGGGGACCTCGCGAGATTTGGGTGTGCATCCCCTTTGTTTGGTGGTTTCAAAGGAAAACCCACGAGGAGCGCCAGCGTTTGGGTGTAAGAACAAGCTGTTTTTGTCCGGCGAGTGGGACCTTTTAGGAGGTCCCACTCCCCAGAAAGGGACCTGGGAGGTTGGGTCGGCATCTTTTGGAGGGTATCCTTGGGAGAACTTTTTCCGAGGCCCGTGGGGGCGGCGCCCAAAGCGGCGGCCCGAAAGCCTATCCCCGGCGCCCGGAATCCCGGGTTGGAGGGTTGGGGCGCCGTTTGTAGTGATTTCTGAGTCCGGATGTCTTCATCCATTTGCTCCGGGAAAGGGGGGGGACTCACCAAAATTCCACAGCCAGGAGACTTGCCAGTTTTTCCATTTCCGTTGCTCTTGCACATGTTTTGTGCAACGGGACCTCATGCGACCGTTTCAGGCGTTTGGAACATGACGAAGGCTTGTCTCACTCGCAGTTCAGTGGGTAGGGGGTGTCAAACTCACACCCTCCTGAAGGGGAACCCACAACCCCCGCCCCAAACACATCCCTTGTGTTTGGGGGGTCCTAGGAAAATATGACCAACGTTTACTGGCAACAAGTCCTTCACTCGATGCCTGCAAGCGGTTACACTTTTGCGCGGGGCTCTCTCAGAACTACTTTAGGACCCGGGAAGGGACAACATTTGGAGGGCAAAGTTGAAGATGTGGCTTGAACGGACGCGCGTGTTACCTCCTGGTTGCTTAACCGTTCTTTGGGCGGGTTTTCCATCCTCAACCATTGAACCATTGCTCTGTTTGCCTCGGGTTAGCTTGCCCTTTGCTCGGCGTGTCGAGCCAAAATAAGCCCTCCCCCGCTCCAAAACAACCCCACCTCATCCCCAACTAAGAAGTTTTTCTAAGTGGGTTGAGGTGATGACCCACCTAGGGATACTTGCCACTTGGCTAAGTGGGGTGGATGACCATCCAAGCAGGGCTCCTTGAGCCCGCTGTCCCCAAAATCCACCTGGTGTATGGTCTTAGGAGCCGCTTCACAACCTCTTCATTTGGGGGTCTCTTTGGGAGGGGATTTGGCCTCATTTAGCTTTCAGCTGATTCTTGAAGGTTGCTTGAAGCTTCCCCAAAATGGCTGGGGGTTTCTTCAAACAAACCTCGCCGGGCGGGATCGCTCGCTCGCGGGTTTTTTTAGTCTCCAGGTCGACCTGGCGCTGCTGCCGGCCGTGGATGCGGCGCCGGAGGTAGACACGCTGGGCCAGAGCTTAGCCCGGAGCTGAGCCGGAGGTCAGAGTGGGTCAATGGTTTGGGGGGCTGGTTCTAGGGGAGTCATATTTTGTTCGCTTCAAAATGTTTGAACCAAACATTTTGTTTTAGATTAAGAAGAAAAACAGTAAGGTCTATGCAGCAACCATCACCAGCATCTTGGAGCTTTGTTGGGGAAAAAACCTGCACCCGCGAGGTGGCGAAGTGGGCCTACAACACCTCGGAGAAGCGGATTTTGACCAATCCCAAGATCGAGGCGAGAAGTTGACAAATTGCCGCCGGGCGCCGGAGGATTTTTTCTGGCAGCCCCCAGCGTATGGGCCCCGGTGGCGTATGGGCCCCGGTGGGGGAGTCTTTGTCGCGGGGGGGTTCAAACTGTTTACAATGTGAAGCACTGCACAACGGGTGGAAGCACAGTGGAAGCCATGGCGTGTTTGGTCAACAACATGTGGCTCAACGTGGTTCCAAATCGCCGAGTTCGGGGGGTTTGATTTCGGAGACGCCGCGAAACCCCTGCTATTCTCTTTTTGGTTGAACATTTGAGGGTGATTTGTTTTTGGCTCGCGGGTGGGCCGGGGGTGATTTCCAAAGTTCCCTGAGTTTTCTCCGGCGCAAAATGTCCCCTTTTAGTTGTTAGATTCAGCCCACTTTTGGAGGGACCACCCCCTTAATAATGGGACGGGTTTAGTATTCCTGGGTCAACAGTACGCCGCGGATGCTTTCGCCGAAGCCTTCGAAGCCGCCGCCTGGTTTCGGCGGGCGGTTAGGCGCTGAGCAAGCCGCTGAAGGGGCCCATCCCGGAGGGCAAGTGCGGAAGCCCAACGGCAACCTCGGATGGCAAAAATAGGTACCCCAAATGGGTTGCCCTGGTCAATGGAAACATGGACCAACACCTGCGGTCCAATTCCTGGTGGTTGAATTTTGACCCATACCCAGATTCATAAACCCATACCCAGATTCATACTCGGAGGACCGAAGCAGTCAGGCCAAAGACCCGGGTCAAACGGCTTTTTTCTGGGGGACACTTCCAACCATTTTTTTCAGGGATTCTTCATTTCAGAAAACCATCAGAATTTCAGGGGAAACAGATTCGGTTATTGAAAAGAACGATGGTTGAGAAGAACGGGGAATCAACCAATAGAAATATGGGGGGGTCTTTTTACCCGTGTACAAGACTCGAAGAGGGTGGAAGTGGAGGGTGGAAGTGTTTGTTGAGACGGACCTATATGGGGGCTGTCCCTGGTTTTAGTGGAGATTCACTACTTTTGGAGTGGAGCACCCCGCCTTTTTTTTTTTTTTTCCTTTTTTTTCAACTTTAGGGGAGGGGTGTCGCCCTTTTGGCGGGGGTTCAATAGGACGGGTTTATTCATCCGGGGTCAACATTTCTTTATGTACCTTGAGGGGTAAGTCAGAATCCTAAGAGAAGCATGTGTGTGATTATTCGGGCTCTTATATTGTGGACCCCGACCTAAGCAGAACCCCCCGATCAATATTAAGTAGGGGTGCTGAATCCTGCATCTGTATTGACTGTATTGTATACCCCTTTTCACTCGAGTTCAAAAGAAAACCAACGCGAGAATCACTATCCCTTGGGCCACTACTTTGACGCATACCCAATACTTGTGCCATAATTTTGCGACTCTTCTGCCTACAGAAGGTGATGGATTTGTTTGCTCCTTTGGGAAATGAACGCTTTCCACTCATGGCAACTTGCTCGTGTCTTACCTGCTCAGTCATTTTGTTGATAGGCTGCTTCATCATTTCACAGGGTTCCTCAATACATCCAACAGGTACCTGCTTTACAAGGGAATCCTCTATTTCAGCTGGTAATTAGGACCCTATTTTGTCAACCTCCAAGTTTAGTTCTTGGTCAGTCAACTCAGAAGGTCAAAGAGCAACAAAAGCTAAGAAGCTGCAGAGCGGCATCGATATGGACCCTGACAACTCTTGACCGGATCCCCGGAGGGCCTTCGCTTGTCAGATAGAAACGCAAGGGGACTGGGCCAGTGCAAGACTCTGTCAGCGCCGAACCGAAGAAGCAAGCTTTGTTTCAACATGTCTTTTTGTAGCTCCCCCAAATGGACCTCTTTCTTTGTGATAAGCAGACCTCCTAAAGGCGTGCGTTGCTTTCCGGGTCCGCGCTCTTTCGGAAAGAGCGCGCGCGCGCGCTCCGCATTCGGCCTGGCGAGGCTCACTTTGGAGGAGAGCTTCAACAACCACAAGATGGGCCGCGTGGAGAAGGCGGCCATGAGCGCCCTGGCCAAAGTTCGAAGTGCGAGAAGTGAGCGAAGGGAGATCAGGAGATTTCGGGAGGTTCAATATGTGGGCCGAGAAGAATTGGGGTTGGGGGGTTGAGGGGTTGGGGGGTTGAGGGGTTGAGGGGTTGAGGGGTTGAGGGGTTGAGGGGTTGAGGGGTTGAGGGGTTGAGGGGCTGAGGGGTTGAGGGGTTGAGGGGTTGAGGGGTTGAGGGGTTGAGGGGTTGAGGGGTTGAGGTATGGGTTTGGGTTGTCAGGTATGGAGGTGTATAGGTACAGACGCAGGCACCGTGGGGCCTGCGTTGTCGTAACCAAGCTAAACCACGAACTGAAACAACAAAAGCGCAAGCTTCCCAACAAAAAAAAACCAACGCGAAATTGGCTGTGGGTCAAAAATAGGTACCCCAAATGGGTTGCCCTGGTAAATGGAACGAAGGACCAAACCCTGCGGTCCAATTCCTGGTGGTTTAATTCAAAATGCTACACCTCATGGCCCGAGATGAGCTGAGACCACATGAGGTCTGCCACTGTTGTTTTGGACAACTCGAGCTTTTCTTTGCACTTTCCAGTTTCCCAAAAAGCAGAGCACATCGCCATTTTGTTCTGAACACTTGAGTTTTTATTTGCACTTTTGTAAAACTGATCTATTTGTTGCCTGAAGCGCAGAGTGATGCGTTTCTTTGTGTGGGGTGGATCACCACATAGTCTCTGACAGCTTGGATTGGAACTTATTTTAACGCCTCCGGCTCAGGCCGCCGACATTACAGGCCTGCTTTCTTATTCGCGTCCCTTTGGAATTGTCCCCTTGCCCCCTTCCCCTCTGAGATTTGTGCCCCCCTTTCTTTGTTGAGATCCATTCCCCCTTTCCGCCCTAAGGCCTTTTCTCCCTCTGATTTTTCCCTTTTCCTCCCCTCTCCCTGTTGAGATCCTTTCCCCCCTTTCCCCCCTAAGGCCTTTTCCCCCCTGAGATCTTCTCCCTTTTCCTCCCTTTCCTCCACTTTCCCCCTCTACGGCCTTTTCCTCCCTGGGATCTTTTTCCTTTTCTCCCTGAGATCTTTCCCCCCCTTTTCCTGTTGAGATCCTTTCCCCCCTTTCCCCCCTACGGCCTTTGCCCCCGCTGAGATCTTCTCCATATTCCTCCTTAAGATCCTTTGCCCCCTTTCCCTGTTGAGATCCTGTCCCCCCTTCCCTTTAAGGCCTTTCCAGATCTTCACCCTTTTCCTTCCTAAGATTGTTTCCCCCCTTTCCCTGTTGAGATCCTTCCCACCCTTTCCCTCCTCAGGCCTTTCCCCCCCCTGAGAGCTTCTCCCTTTTCCTTCCTTGGGTCTTTCCCCCCTTTCCCTGTTGGCCTTTTTTCCCCCAGATCTTCTCCCTTTCCTCCCTAAGATCTTTTCCACCCCTTTCCCTGTTGAGATCATTTCTCCCCTTTCCCCCCTACGGCCTTTGTCCCCAGATCTTCTCCCTTTCCTCCCTAAGATCTTTCCCCCCCTTTCCCTGCTCAGATCCTTTCCCCCCTTTCCCCCCTAAGGCCTTTCCCCCCCTGAGATCTTCTCCCTTTTCCTCCCTAACATCTTTTGCCACCTTTCCCTGTTGAGATCCATTCCCCCTTTCCCCCCTAAGGCTCTTTCTTCCTCTGAGTTTTTCCCTTTTCCTCCCTACGATGTTTTCCCCCCTCTCCCTGTTGAGGTCCTTTCCCTCCTTTCCCCCCTAAGGCCTTTTTTCCCCCCGCGATCTTCCCCCTTTTCCTTCCTAAGATCTTTTCCCCCCTTTCCTTGTTGAGATCCTTTCCCGCCCTTTCCCCCCTAAGGCGTTTTCCCCCCCAAGATCTTCTCCCTTTTCCTCCCTAAGATCCTTTGCCCCCTTTCCCTGTTGAGATCCTTTCCCCCCTTTCCCCCCTAAGGCCTTTCCCCCCCTGAGATCTTCTCCCTTGTCCTCCCCAAGATCTTTTCCCTTGGTTGAGATCCTTTCCCCCTTTCCCCCCGAGATCTTCTCCCTTTTCCTCCTAGGATCTTCTCCCACCTTTCCCTGTTGAGCTCCTTTCCCCCTTTTCCCCCTAAGGCCTTTTCAGATCTTCTCCCTTTTCCTCCCTAAGATCCTTTGCCCCCTTTCCCTGTTGAGATCCTTTCCCCCTTTCCCCCCTAAGGCCTTTTCCCTGCCTGGGATCTTCTCCCTTTCCTCACTGAGATCTTTCCCCCCCTTTCCCTGTTGAGATCCTTTCCCTCCTTTCCTTCCTAAGGCCTTTCCCCCCGCTGAGATCTTCTCCCTATTCCTCCTTAAGATCCTTTGCCTCCTTTCCCCGTTGAGATCCTTTCCCTTCTTCCCTTTAAGGCCTTTCCAGATCTTTTCCCTTTTCCTTCCTAAGATTGTTTCCCCCCTTTCCCTGTTGAGATCCTTCCCACCCTTTCCCGCCTAAGGCCTTTCCCCCCTGAGAGCTTCTCCCTTTTCCTTCCTTAGATCTTTCCCCCCTTTCCCTGTTGGCCTTTTTTCCCCCAGATCTTCTCCCTTTCCTCCCTAAGATCTTTTCCACCCCTTCCCTGTTGAGATCATTTCTCCCCTTTCCCCTCTAAGGCCTTTGTCCCCAGATCTTCTCCCTTTCCTCCCTAAGATCTTTCCCCCCCCCCTTTCCCTGCTGAGATCCTTTTCCCCCTTTCCCCCCTAAGGCCTTTCCCCCCCCTGAGAGCTTCTCCCTTTTCCTTCCGAAGATCTTTTCCCCCCTTTCCCTGTTAGGCTTTCCCCCCTAAGTCCTTTTCTCCCAGATCGTCTCCCTTTCCTCCCTAAGATCTTCCCCCCCCTTTCCTCCTTAAGATCTTTCCCACCCTTTCCCTGTTGAGATCCTTTCCCCCCTTTCCCTCCCAAGGCCTTTCCCCCCCCTGAGAGCTTCTCCCTTTTCCTTCCTAAGATCTTTTCCCCCCTTTCCCTGTTGGGCTTTCCCCCCTAAGTCCTTTTCTCCCAGATCTTCTCCCTTTCCTCCCTAAGATCTTCCCCCCCCCTTTCCTTCCTAAGATTGTTTCCCCCCTTTCCCTGTTGAGATCCTTCCCACCCTTTCCCCCTGAGGCCTTTCCCCCCTGAGAGCTTCTCCTTCCTTAGATCTTTCCCCCCTGTCCCTGTTGGCCTTTTTTCCCCCAGATCTTCTCCCTTTCCTCCCTAAGATCTTTTCCACCCCTTTCCCTGTTGAGATCATTTCTCCCCTTTCCCCCCTAAGGCCTTTGCCCCCAGATCTTCTCCCTTTCCTCCCTAAGATCTTTCCCCCCCTTTCCCTGCTCAGATCCTTTCCCCCCTTTCCCCCCTAAGGCCTTTCCCCCCCTGAGATCTTCTCCCTTTTCCTCCCTAAGATCTTTTGCCATTTTTCCCTGTTGAGATCCATTCCCCCTTTCCCCCCTAAGGCCCTTTCTCCCTCTGAGTTTTTCCCTTTTCCTCCCTACGATGTTTTCCCCCCTCTCCCTGTTGAGATCCTTTCCCTCCTTTCCCCCCTAAGGCCTTTTTTCCCCCGCGATCTTCCCCCTTTTCCTTCCTAAGATCTTTTCCCCCCTTTCCTTGTTGAGATCCTTTCCCGCCCTTCCCCCCTAAGGCGTTTTCCCCCCCAAGATCTTCTCCCTTTTCCTCCCTAAGATCCTTTGCCCCCTTTCCCTGTTGAGATCCTTTCCCCTCTTTCCCCCCTAAGGCCTTTCCCCCCCCCCCTGAGATCTTCTCCCTTGTCCTCCCCAAGATCTTTTCCCTTGGTTGAGATCCTTTTCCCCTTTCCCCCCGAGATCTTCTCCCTTTTCCTCCCTAGGATCTTCTCCCACCTTTCCCTGTTGAGCTCCTTTCCCCCTTTTCCCCCTAAGGCCTTTTCAGATCTTCTCCCTTTTCCTCCCTAAGATCCTTTGCCCCTTTCCCTGTTGAGATCCTTTCCCCCTTTCCCCCCTAAGGCCTTTTCCCTGCCTGGGACCTTCTCCCTTTCCTCACTGAGATCTTTCCCCCCCTTTCCCTGTTGAGATCCTTTCCCCCCTTTCCCCCCTACGGCCTTTCCCCCCGCTGAGATCTTCTTCCTATTCCTCCTTAAGATCCTTTGCCCCCTTTCCCTGTTGAGATCCTTTCCCCCCTTCCCTTTAAGGCCTTTCCAGATCTTCTCCCTTTCCGTCCTAAGATTGTTTCCCCCCTTTCCCTGTTGAGATCCTTCTTTCCCCCCTCAGGCCTTTCCCCCCCCTGAGAGCTTCTCCCTTTTCCTTCCTTAGATCTTTCCCCCCCTTTCCCTGTTGGCCTTTTTTCTCCCAGATCTTCTCCCTTTCCGCCCTAAGATCTTTTCCACCCCTTTCCCTGTTGAGATCATTTCTCCCCTTCCCCCCTAAGGCCTTTGTCCCCAGATCTTCTCCCTTTCCTCCCTAAGATCTTTCCCCCCCCCCCCCCCTTTCCCTGCTGAGATCCTTTTCCCCCTTTCCCCCCTAAGGCCTTTCCCCCCCCCCTGAGAGCTTCTCCCTTTTCCTTCCTAAATCTTTTCCCCCCTTTCCCTGTTGGGCTTTCCCCCCTAAGTCCTTTTCTCCCAGATCTTCTCCCTTTCCTCCCTAAGATCTTCCCCCCCCTTTCCTCCCTAAGATCTTTCCCACCCTTTCCCTGTTGAGATCCTTTCCCCCCTTTCCCTCCCAAGGCCTTTCCCCCCCTGAGAGCTTCTCCCTTTTCCTTCCTAAGATCTTTTCCCCCCTTTCCCTGTTGGCCTTTTTTCCCCAGATCTTCTCCCTTTCCTCCCTAAGATCTTTTCCACCCCTTTCCCTGTTGAGATCATTTCTCCCCTTTCCCCCCTAAGGCCTTTTTGCCCCAGATCTTCTGCCTTTCCTCCCTAAGATCTTTCCCCCCCCCCAGTTCCTTGTTGAGATCATTTATTTCCCCCCTTTTCCTTCTAAGGCCTTTTCCCACCCTCAGTTCTTCTCCCTTTTCCTCCCAAAGATCTTTCCCCCCCTTTCCTCCCTAAGTCCTTTTCCCTGAGTTCGTCTCCCTTTGCCTCCCTAAGATCTTTTCCCCC